CATCTCCAGGTTTATTTCTTCGGAGATCAGCCATCCAGAAAGCTGATTTAACGAAATATTGGTATTGTTCATGCGAATGTTTTGCTTAAAGGATGAGTATTCGGTGGGAAGACCACGAATAACAGCATTCACCACATCACGTTCAGGGATCTCTTCTTTCAAGGCATCGAGATCCGAGAGAATAGTTGCAACATCATCAAGGTATTGTGTCATAGTTTTGGTACCTTTACGAAGAGTGTGGAGTTTTTCCCGAAGCTGATAAACATGAGCGGTGGACACGAAGTTGTACCGTGCGGCCAAAGCATCCTAGAGGGCAGCAGATGTGGTGAAGCCGCGAGCATGTTTGTGAACGGAGGGGCTGATGACCGCTAGGAGGCAGGCGCGGATCTGTGTGTCAACGATGGTCCAAGAGGTATACTCTGGATTAGGGACGGTTTTATCATTTTTGGAGATAGTTGGCGCCGGGGCTGCTTCATGACCATCAATCCATCCAAGGAGGAGATTAGCTGAAAGAGCTGTCTGGACATTGAGAGACCATGCTGGATAATTTGTTTCGGTGAGTTTTTCTGGGATTAAGTTGTGGAGACTCCGAAGCAAAAGTTTTACTCCGGAGGGTAAGGACGCCAAAGGATCCGACGGGGCTGCCATGATGGGCGGCGGTCGGAAAAAAAGAGAGGCTAGGTTTTTGAGAGCCTTAGCTCTGATACCATGATACAATTTGATAATAACTTGTCTTATTGAATATTGAGAGATATGGCCATATATATAGGAAATACAAGAGTAATCAAAGTACAAGTAGGAAAGGAAAGAATAATCCTAGTAGGAAAGGAAAGAAGTATCCTAATTTAATTATACTTCCTAATACCTTATTATAATAATGTGAAGTCTTCAGAGTTTTCCTTAAGGTTGTATCGCACGTCTCCCACACTAGCTAACGTGGACGATGCCCTCTCAAGATAAAACCGTTAATGTGCAAGGCCTAGAGCGGTAGAACCGTGCACCAACGAATTGGAACAAACGGAGATTTACTTGTCGGAAAATTGATCGGAAAAGAATAGAGTTGGAACGCAACAAGAGTTTCGAGTTATGTGTGGCTCCATTGGGATTAGCCTCTTCTTATATAGGAGAGGCTTTGGCTATTTGTATGGACCGAAAGACAACATGAGGAGTCCAACTTTCCTTCCTCCTCATGATGTGTCGAGTTGGACAGCGGCAGTAGTGTGCGAGGGGTCCTTTCCTTCCTCCTTCTCAAATTGCTTTATCATATATGAAATGCAATGCTAGCAAATAAATGGAGAAAAATGAAGGGTCTCAAATTCGATGTGAAATAAGTGGGTTTATTCTTACCAAGTGTCCAACTTTGTGAATTAAATTTCTCATTCAACCGAGCACCATTTTGGCGCACAATATGTCAAAATACTCGTCTCACTTCGGAGATTATTTGTCCATAATTATTTTGAAAAAATAATTTTGTGCACTCCACCAAATTTATGTAAGAAGTTGTCCTATTAAAAGCTAAAAATTCCAACAATATTATTTGGCACCATAAGTCATATTTTGGTACAAATACATTATTTGTGCTATTTTGATATATAGATCATGAATTTACTATATTTTTTTATTTTGATATATAGATCATGAATTTACTATATTTTTTTATCAAATTATGAATGAAAGTATGTACTCAGTATAAAAAAAGATATAGCTTGATAATCTTATAATAATTGTGACTTTTGGGGATGGAGAAGGGCCTACACAATGTGAGTAAGCATGAATGTGCATATGCCCTATACACTCTCTTTCCCTAAAAAATCACAAAATTCTTAAAAGAATTTAAAAAGGACAAGATTTTGTTAATACAATCATCAACTGTCAATGAATACAGCACCCACTTATTTCGAGTACATTCAGTGGCGGTTTAGAGAGTAGGAATCATAAATTTTGGAAACGGAGCATTGGATGTGCTCGAAATAGGCGAGTGTCATCCGTTGATACTAGATGACAGTATCAACGGAACCTTGCAGATTTAAAAAATAAAGAGTGCGTGATAGAAATTATTTGCAAGAATAAGAAACACTTTTCATTTAATTTCTTCATCCAAACAAAAAAGTATGGAATTTATTTTGGATTAGACATAAAAAGAAAGAAAGTATGACATAAACAATTTTTTGAAACGCATGGAGCACATGTCACAAAGTCTTAGAGAAAAAAAGAAGGATTATGCTATGTGTACCCCAAGGTATGTACCCCGCAGTTTTGCACCAACACTTTGTGTTTGTGTAAAACTAATTTTTGTTAAACGCACCAACATTTGTGTCCGTGTGAATTTTTATTAACGCACCAACACTTGTGTCGGTGTAAACCATCGAAATGTTTGTGCAAACCTGTGGTGTACAAATGGGGTATATTTTTTGGTGTAAGTGTAGCATGGTCCAAAAAAGAAAGAGAGTGTGATATATCACATCATAATTTTTTATTCTTTGCTATTACACCCCTACAAAATATCACTCTTGAAAGAGTATATGGTTGTAAACTCAATTTGAGTGCTTTGATGTTTTCTTAATGAAAAACTGATTTGCAATTTTTTTACCAACGATTGCAAATTTGGAACCACTATGGGCCTTTTTGAGAATAACGTTAGAGATTAGCGTTAGCATTTTGAAAAGGCTATCTACAGGCAACGTTTAGCATTAGCATTTTCAAAGTAATCTACACCGTTAAAATTTTATCCAAAATGCTAACGCTAATCTCTAACGCTATTCCCAAACAGACCATAAATAATAACACTACCTAATACGAAGTAATAATTAACTAACCAATAACAATAATACCGATAAATAGTTCCGTGTCACAATATGGGCTTGATGGTTGTCATGGGCGTTGCCCTTTTTTTTCATTTCAAACCAATCAAAACTGAGAAGGTATTTGGTAGAACCGGATGTACGATACATCCGGGTAGTACTAATTCTGAAATAGAGTAGTACTCATTCTCGCACAAATATGATTAGCGTGGTACTCATTCTAAAATAATACAGTACTCATTTTCACACATTGGTTCAATATAATTATAATATTCATCTACAAATAATGTAGTGTTTATTCTGAAACATAACATTACTCATTCTGAGATAATTTTGTGTCCATTCTCATGTAAAATAAAATCCATAGCATAAATAATTTCTTGGTTGTACCCAAAATTGGGTACAGCAGAATGTATAATATAATTTGCCATCAAAATTTGACATATTTAAGGTTTTACCAATCATAATAGTTCACACCTCATCACTCCACGTTATAGATGTTCACACCCCGCGCGTCAAGTTCGTCACTACACATGGCCTTATAGTGTAGCTAGTGTCTCTGTATAATGCAGAGTGAGGGTGGCGAATGAGTTGGGAGCAGGGAATGGGAAAGGAGCAAAGTTTGCTACACTGGTATCAGTCACACATTCCACCATTATTGGCTTCGTCTTCTGCCTCCTAATCCTCAACTTCCACGCCAAGCTTGCCCTTATCTTCTCCTCTAGCAAACCTGTCCTTGATGCTGTCCAACCTCTCTCAGTCCTCCTGGCTTTCACAATCCTTCTCAATAGCGTTCAACCTATTCTCTCAGGTAAAATTTAATCCTATGGAAATTTTTAAAATATTTATATTTTTTTCAAAATTTATTTTTTTAATTATTTAATTTAGTAAGAGTTTATTTTTTAAAAAAAAAATAAAACTTGCAGGGGTGGCTATTGGATCAGGGTGGCAAGCATATGTAGCATACATAAACCTGGGTTGCTACTATTTGCTAGGAGTCCCTCTTGGCGTTATTATGGGATGGGTCTTCCACCAAGGAATCTTGGTATGTACTACGTTATACTCCCTTCCTTTCATAAAGATAGTTGACATATTGATATAAGTGGTAAAATAAAGGAGAGATAATTTTGTGTTGATTTTCTAAAAATATCCTTGATGTGATGGGTAAAAGTAGGATGTGATGTGTAGGCATGAAAAAGTAAGGGATAAAAGTGGCTTTTTAATATAAATTTTATGTATATTTAAGCCCCCTTCGTTCTCATGACATTGGGAATCAATGTCATAGAATAACCTGGGGGTGCTTCGGTGTCCCGTTCGTAAAATTGAGTTCCTACTCTCCTGACTCCACTGCTAAACTCCCTACCCCGCCCCGGCCCAAACACCCCCACCCCCTTTAATTGCATCTCCAAGTTAATTTTGATTTTGGAATCAAAATTTGACTCTAAAGTCAAAATTAACTTGGGGGTGCAATTGAAGGCCGGGGGTGAGGGTGTGTTTGGGTCGAGGTCGGGAGGAAGGGTTTACCCGGGGATTAGGGGGTGTAAATCATCAATTTTATGAATGGGGCATCGGAGCACCCCGAGTTATCTCATGACATTGATTCCAATGTTATAAGATGACATTGATTCCAATGTTATAAGAATTCGCCCCTATTGAAGCACCTTAATTTCAGTTTATTTATGTAGCAATGTCATGTTTTTTTCCATTATTCGAAAAAAATTAGGGATGTGATAATTATTAGAATCCAGGCGGACTCTTTAGATTTTTGAGTTAAACATGTTATGTATATGGTGGTCCTACATGATTTTTTTTCTCAAAAGTTAAAGTAGATCTATAATAATGTGATCGTTGCGATGTGCTATTGTGCTTAATGGTCATTAGTCAACGCATGGTTTATATTTTAAATTTGAGTTAAATTAAAGTAGATCTATAATGGACATTGCAGGGAATATGGGCTGGGATGATCTTTGGTGGAACGGCAGTACAAACTCTAATATTGTGTATAATCACCTTGCGATGTGATTGGGAAAAAGAGGTTGCTTGTAAACAAACCCTTCACATATGCATATATGCTTTCTATTATTATTATTATTATTATTATTATTATTATTATTATTATTATTATTATTAAATCTACTATATATCCACAATTGCAATTTTTTGGTGTTTTTTCTTAGTAAATTATTCATTTGGTATGTTTACATAATGAAAATGCAGGCTGAGAAAGCAAATAAACATGTAGAGAAGTGGGAAGGTGTACGTCAGAACTCTTTGTAGAGATTTGAGATGATCAACTAAGCACAATCAACTTGATAAGCATCAAAAGGTTTTCATTCATAGCTTGACATTTGAGGATTAGTTTTGATTCATAGCCTAATAAATACAAAGAGTACATAGATATGTACTTAAAACATATACTCAGTCTTTAGTTATAATTATTATATTAGACTTGTGTTTAGCGAAACTATCTATATATAGTACCCAAATTCTATATACATTATATTCTCCATGCAACTTGCGTTTTGATGGGATATTTGCATTGACATGGTATGATGAGAGAAATTTGTCTAAATTTATTTGGATAAAGCTATCTCTACCCCAACTTTTGTACCCCATTTTGTACCCCGCAGGTTTGCGACGACACTTTGTGTTGGTGTAAAACTAATTTCTGTTAATGCACCAATACTTTGTGTCCGTGTAAATTTTTGTTAACACACAAACATTTGTGTCGATGTAAACCATCAAAATGTTTGTGTATAACTGCGGTGTAGAAATGGGGTATAATATGTGGTGTAAGTGTAGCATGATGCATGACCCAATTTATTTATGGAATTAGCCGTGTTTGTGATTCAAAATTGAGTAATGTTACATTGCTACAGTACATATCATTCACCTTATCTAAATATGACATCAACACGGTTTCACTACAACCTGACATTGTTCATCCTAAATACTCTCTCCGTCTCTGAGTATTTGTCTATCTTTATTTTTGCACCATCCAATACACTTCTTTAACCCTTTTTATCTTGTAATTTATATATTAAAAAATTATAAAAATTATATATTAATAATCTATATGTTAAGACGAATCAAACAAGATCACACATGACTATTTTTAAGCTTACACATTGAGAGAATTTGATAAGTCAAAGTGTTTAGATGAACAGTTCCAAAAGTCAAAAGTGGACAAACACTCAGAGACAGACCAAGTATCAACTATCACTGAATATTGTTCCTGCCCCTAGACATTATTCAAATACTATTTACGAGAATAAAAAGTTTAAGTATCACATTGGAAAATGATATGTGTTTTTGTACTATTTAATGTAAACTTCGCATTCACTTATTTTAATGTTATTATTGATTCTATTACTTCGTATATATGAGTAGTACACCATTCGTTCAGATTTAAAATTCTCGATTAAATTTTATTTTTTTTACGATATCCAATATAAGATTTTGATCATTAATATCAAAATTTATATATAGATGTATTTTATAAATCTTAATTTTTCAAAACAACCTTTTCCCTTCCATATCTACCTTAAAATTACCACTTCCGTCGTGTTATCACGGTACTTCCCCGAAGGAAACATGATCGAGTTGTGTAAGCTAGAGACTCGGTGACTAAACCGAGCCGACTCACTTTTCTTGCTAAAACTAAAAGTCAGCATCTTTTGCGCTCCACTATCCTTCAACGTCTCTATTCTCTCCTTTACTTGTCCCACCAAGCCCCACAAAGTCCGAACTGACGGCTTTGTAACGGCCGTCAAGAACAAGCCAGATAATCTCCCTTGACGATCTTCCAGCCTCCTCAGACAACAAGCCAACTCGACCGAGTCAGCAAAACTCAGCTGACCGAGTCTCTCCCCAAGCTCGACGAGTCTCGGCAGTAATTCTTTCACTAAAGAAAAGTAGTCCTCGGATAACATCCCCATTACCTCGTACAACAGTTCGTTGCCTTCCACGAGGAGGGAATCCGGCGCTTCACACATCTCCTCGATTACTCCGATCATCGAATCTAAGTCTCGGATTGAATCCCCGTTCGGGACAACCCGGATTGAAGCGAGGAGTGCGGTTTCGAGGTATCGAGCATAGAATCTGACCCACGCAGATAGCATCCACGTGGCAGGGGTGGCGCCGTCGCGGAAGGAGGAGAGTTTGAGGTTGCTCCGGCCGGCGGCGAGCTGGTCCCGGAGGACGAAGGGCCCGCGTTTGATGACGTGGTGGATCACGAGGAGGCACTTCAGGGCGACGGAGCAGTCGCCGGTGTGGTGCAGGCGGTCCATGAGGGCGGACGCGAGGGTGGACGCGGCGGCTCGGGAGCGTTCGGCGAGGGAGAGTAGAGTGGAGAGGTGGTGGTCATCTGGCGGCGCGTTGGGCGAGTGGGAGGTGACGCGTAGGACTGCTAGGTGGAGGGAGAGGTTTCCCCTTTTGGAGACTATGGCGGCTTTGGACTTGGAGGCTTTGTCTTTGACCGCTCCGATGAGATCTCGTAGGGTTGTGATTCTTCCCATGATCGATCGAGCTGAGTATGTAATGGCTAGCCGTGAGAAGATTGATTTAGAGAGAGAATGTGTGTACGTATAGAGTGGAATGTAAAGTGGATGAATGCCGTTTCACATGAGATTTCTTAATAAAAAACTTTCCTTTTATTTGAAACTTATATTCCTTCCTAATTCCTCTTTAAACAAATTCCACTTTAAGACCAATTCCAAAGCAATCATGGGAGGGATGTATCCCAAATTCTACATCAAAATTATACATTAACATTTTAATGATTCATACTGATACAAAATGCTAGTGAGATTAAAAAAATTTATTAGTATTTTGTGTCTTACACTAGCGCAAAATGAAAGTGTGCATCTCTGATGTACAATTTGAGGCATCACTTTTGTTATACAAATAGCTTTATTCATTCCAATGCATCCACATCAAAGCATTTATAATGGGGGGCATTTCTACCCCGGCCTAATTCCTGACATATCATCATTCCAATACCTTTGAGTCTCGTCCCGAAATCTTACACTGCTATTGTCCTGAAACTCGTTTCTATGTTTTTTTTACATTAGTCATTATTTTTAGTTCTAATTTTTTTTAAAAATAAAATACATATAATTAAAATAAAATGCTAAGATTGAGCAATGTTGCATATCTTCATGGGCATGGCATGAATGTAGAAGAGAATGGATTTCCATTTAATCAAGAGGCTTTAACCAAGTTTGATCCATTTAAAACACATGAGCCATATATGATAGTCTCATAAGCTAGATTCCTTGAAACACGCACCATATCTTTTTACTAATCATGACTTCTCTTTGATAGTGGGTTAACACTTTAGATTTCTTTTTTCCTCCCACAATAACCTAAGCTAAGTCATCTTTTTTCATGTCTCCATCCATCTCTTATCACTTCACCATTCTCTTATCCCTTCACTACCATCTATTTCTTATCTTTCACGTCTTCTAACTAAAGACCTCTTGATTGTCATTATTAGAGATTAAGTTGCGAGCGATTAACCTTGAGGGTCCGTTTGATATACGGAATTGACGGAATTGAAATTGAATTGAAATTGAAATTGCATTGGATTCAATTCCATAGAATTGAATTCTACCAATTCCAATTCATTTTTTACATTATCAATTCCAAATCCATATAATTTTTGTACTACCAAACATCAGAATTGGAATTGAAGTTCTCAATTTCAATTCTATAATTTGAATTTTGTGTACCAAACGGGGCCTGAGTAAAAATACGAGCGAATGTGTGTTATCAAATGTTCCCCTTCTAATGTTATTGTCCAGCAGTGCATAAAGAGTGAGGAGTCCCCATCGTCATCCAAATCACGACCTGTCCCAAGGGTTGCTCATATTTGCGCAACAGCTTCAATCCACGGACCCGACCCGGACGAAGCTCAAATCCTCCGTAGACGCCGAGCTTCAGCGGTGGCGTCACAGCTCCTTCCACTGGTGAGGAGCTACCAGTTTCGAGGCGAAGCGACTGAGGCTCCACCCGGAGACGAGATAGGTTGTTTGTTCTGACTGGCGAAAAGACGACGTCGCTCCTCCCGACGATGCCGCGCGCTGCCTCCAATTCCGGCAAGGCTAGTTCGGAAACATAGGTCAACGAGCAGATAAGGATGAACAAATCAGATTCAAATTTATGCACTCAAATGTCAAATTTACCCCGGGTCCATTTCTTTATTCCTGCATTTAATTGTACCCTCATTTGTCATTTTAATTCCCAATTTCCCTACACTATATACGGAAATGCTATATGCACACCACCAAATAAACCCCACTTTAATCCCATATATATACCCCTCTTTTTTTCCTTTTTAATTTTTTAATAATTGACCACTTTCTCTCTTTTCTTCAACTATTGCAGTCCCTCCACCTTCTTCCTCACTATCTTCTTCATCCCTCCTTCTTCGTACTCTTTTTATTTTTTTTCCCTTTAATTTTATTTTCAAATTTCATGCTCCAATTTTAATTGTTTTTCAATTATGTAATGCGAATTATGTATCATTTTGATTTTTGGAAATGTAAGACGTTTATTTTTGAGAAAGTAAGATGTTTATTTTTGGAATTATTCATTTTGGAATGTAAGATTTTCTTAATTTGTAAAGTTAAAAAAATTTAGTAAATATCCGAACATGAACAATAAAGATTGTTTTGTTTTCTACTTTGCCACTGACTTGTTGCAAATTGACACCAAAATTCCTCCATGTGTTCATAAGTACATTCCGGTATGAATGGCAAGTACTCCACAAAGGCAAGAACCATAACAGCACAAACATACTTATATCAGCCCCGTTTGGCATCAGAGTCAGAGATTAACGTTAGCGTTTTGAAAACGCTATCTGACGGTAGCCTTTAGCGTTAGCGTTTTCAAATTTAATCTGCACCATTAAAATTTTATCTAAAACACTAACATTAATCGAAAACGCTCTTACCAAACAAAGCCTTCATTTTTAAAATATAAACTACAAATAAAAAATTTGGACAAAAAATTGTATTCCATATGTAACCGCAGTTATACAAAAATATTTTGATGGTTTATACCGACACAAATGTTGGTACGTTAACAAAAATTTACACAGACACAAATTAAAGTATTGATGCATTAACAAAAATTAGTTTTATACCAATACAAAATGTCAGTGCAAACTTGCAGTGTACGAATGAGGTGCAAGAGCTTGAGGTACAAATAGCTTTAAAATTTACATACTAAGAAACAAATTTCACAAACATTAAATCAAATAAAAAATAACCTTGATTGGCTGACTTACAAGGAAGATAAACACAATCACAATTAATAATTGAAGTAAAGAACAATTAAAGTTAAAGGATGAAATTTGAAAATAAAACAAAAAATAAATAAAAAGAGAAGAAGAGATAGGGACGAAGAAGGTGGAAGGAGAAAGAACATGGGGTCAAGAGATATTAAAGAGGAGAGAGAAGGAAGTCAATTATTTTAAAAAATAGAAAATAAAAACTTTTGTATATATGGGGTTAAAGTGGGGTTAAATGGTGGTGTGCCTATAGCATTCCCCCACTATATATACTCATTGATGGGAGATCTTTCCCGTTTCTATTTCTACACTGTTAGGCTAGGGTTTATTTTTCATCATTATCTTCATCTTGTATTTTTATTTTAGGAGTACTTTAATTTCATCTCTTTTAGATTCATCTACTTATTTTAGAATAGACTTTATTTCATCTCCTTCATTCTAGGTTTATTTACTACTCTCTTTTCTGTATGCATTGTTTTAGTTTAAGCATGCTAGGCTAGATTTTCTAGCCTAAGTTAGGGATGAATGGTTGATTTATGTTTGTAATCATTGGATTAGTGTGAGATTTGAGATATTAGCTTAGGGATGTTTCTAGAGATTGTTCTTATTATTCTTTGGATGTTGTTGTTGGCCACAATAGCATTCTTGTATTTTGGAAGAGTTCTTAATCACCAAAGAATTGGGATTTAGAATCCTAGTTGTGTGTCTCTACTCTCAAGTCCTACTACAGAAGTGGAGGATACTTGAGGAGCTTGTTTGATTTGATTATAGTTTTCTTGAGATGAGCACCACGGAAGGGGGTTCCCATCAAGAGAATTCTTTACCAATTTTCATGGGAGTAAAATCAAGGCAATTTGCTCGCATTCTAGTTGATTTCTCATTTTCCTTCATTCTTTTGGCAATTTGCATAATTAGCATGAAATTACTAACTTGCTTTCATTTTATTTCTTGCATTTCCTTTTAGCATTATTCATTGCATTATCTACTTTATTTCATTTGCAACAACTGATCCACCTTGTATTTTTCTTTAGGCCTTGATTCACGTATTACGATTCGATATTCGATAGATTTTAGAGATAAAATAAAAAGTGTAAAAGGAGAGAGTTTCAAATAACACAAAGTATTTTATGATGAAAGATTAGAGATAGAAATTGGTAAATTAATTTTCCAATATTTTTATAAAAGTTGTATTATCAACTAATTTTTATATAGAATGTGTGGGGTTGTAGAAAAGTATTAAGGGATGCTCTCGCAGTTCACCTAAATAATACTACCTCCGTCCCAGAGTATTTGTCCACTTTCATTTTTACACATCATCCAATGCACTTCTTTAATCCATTTTATCTTGTAATTTGTATATTAAAAAATTATAAAAATTATATATTAATATATAATCTATATGTAAGACAAATAAAACAAGATCACACATGACTATATTTAGGCTTACACATTGAGAGAATTTGATGAGTCAAAATGCTTAGATGAACAGTTCCAAAAGTCAAAACTGGACGAATATTCCGGGACGGAAGGAGTAACTACTTCAACTTTAACACGTTAATGATAAATCTGGAATAATTATTTAGTCACAACGGCAACCATTACTATTTTATTGTATAAACACCCAATTTAATGGTGTAAAAATACAACTCAATAAATATATCCATCCGAAAGTTTTCAATCTCGGTTAAAGGTAAAGAAGGCTTACACTGTATTGAAACAGTGTCCTATTTTATAATTATATATCAATTTTAGCCCACATTCCTTTTTAACTTATGCGTTTATGATTGAGCCCTAAATTAAAAATCACAAATATTCAAGATTTTTTTTAAATATAACATCTAAATAAAAATAAAATCAATAATCCATGTTTTAAAAATATTTAAAATGTTAAGATGGACTATTAATTATACCAACTTCTAACTCCATAGGAATTTATAAGTTTATAGTTTGAGACTTAAACAAATAAATATTTATTACAATCATAAAAGTCTTACAAAAATAGAAGATGTGCTTTTGAGCTCCAATTATAACTGATGGTGTTGATGATGATGATGGGGTGATTTTTGTGTGTTTGGAGAATGAAAGTGGAGAAATTTTAAAGAAAAGAAAAGAGAAATTCGGAATTGAAGGGAGTAGATATTGGGGAGTTCCAACCATTTGGAGAAGAGGGATGAGGTATTTTCATAGGAAAATTCACATACAAAGTATATACAAATAGTAGTAGAAAAAGACAACAAGTGTCTTGTAGCTCACATGGCAATGGGGCTCTTTGTTGCCCCGCTTGACTCCGT